GATCACGTCTCTTATTGGCGTCTGTGTTGGGGAAATAGGGTTATCGTTATCTCCTTAGCTTCTTCAAATGGGTATGAAGAGGTTAAGTGACATACATGAAGATGATTTTTAAATAATAATGGTCTAATATATGTAAATAATACATTCTTAATTTATTAATTTTATGACAGGATTATACTTATTCATGATTTAAAAAAATTGACATCCCATAAAACATAGATGATAAAAGAGAAGCTCTGGAAATAAGTGACACGAGTTGTCTGAATGCCACCAATGCTTAACTGGGTGCCCTAGATTAGGCAACTTAACCTCTCTGTGCCCTGGTTTCTTCATTTATAAAATAGAGATAGGACAGAATCCAACAGTTATAGTTGTTATAAGGATTCAATAATTGTAATGCACTTAGAAGTATGCAGAACACTTAGCATTGGCTCACGTTAATTATATCTTCCATTCTTTTTCAAAGCAGCCGTTCTCCAAAACATGGAAAATTTCTCTATTTGGGTAATGAGGATACCGCCCTTCACTTGTGTTATAAAGCGGAATTAAATCTGTTCTACTTCCCATTTTGAGAGATTACTAAACCCAGATCGATACATAACATGTAATAATTCAGTCACCGATTTGTGAAATTAAAATATCATAAATTAATTTGCCACATAAAGCAATTCCCAAGTTGTTATGAAATTATTGTTTATATGAATTTTTTGCCAACTTATTTTAACTGTCAGAGGAAAGTCGATGTAAGTACAGCTGCTGGATATAATAAAATTCATGAAGAAAGGGTCTTCCACCCCTCAAGCGAGCTGTGGCAGTGCCCAATGAGTTCGTCTTCACCAAGCTTGGGGTCAGGAACTTGAGCTCAGAGCAGGATGATGTACGTAGGTGTCTTGGTCTTCCTAAGAGACCAGGACATTGACAATATTCCACTAATAAAAATTCTGGTTCCTATTAGAATGTCAAGGTTAATCATTCATTTCAAGCAGATTTCCAGTCTTTGTTAAAATACATTAAATCTAGGAGTGAATGCTGGTATGTAGGAATCACGAGCTATGTTTTCCTGTTGGGGACATCTGTATTTTATCATAGAAATTTGCTTTAAATGAATATTTTAATTATAGCACACTCATTTTCATACATTTACATTATTATCACATATTTTTGTCTAGTTAGGTAGGTACTTCCAGTATCATCAACATTTGTATCTCTTAGAATCTATCGTATATCTTATATCTGTTGTAGCTTAGAAAGGGTCAGTAACTTGTCCAGAAGCAAGCAGCCAGTGGGTGATTAAAGAAAGATCCAAATAAGCTCATGATGGCATAAACTCTAAGTTTGCTGAGGGCAGAAGGTAAAGGTGTATAGAGTTTCCCTTGGTAACTGATTCAGAGTCCCGGATGAATGCAGTGTGTGCTCAGTACGTCTGAAGAGAATGTGTGAAATCATCTTAATCGATTTGGCTAATTGGTTTGGGATTTGGAGGACTTGACTATGAAGAAGCAAAAGACTATTAAACATTCTCTGTCTTTTTCTTTTAAAACATGGCAATAATTAAGACTGCTCATGTTTCATTTGACTAGAGGTCAGAAATAGAAATATAACTATGTCATTATCCTTGTGGTGTGTACTAACACCTTTCTTCAAAGTACTTAAAACTTTTTCTACCCATGATGTCTTCAGAACTGGAAATTCTTAAGTTCTTCAAAGAAAGATAGCATAAAAAATCATAGAATTGGTAGCCTTGATGTATCACTGTTTAAAATACCTGGTTGTTTAACCTAAATCATCAGTATATTGAGTTAATTTCATTCCTGGTCCCACTTACAAAGGTATGGGCAAGGTCTTAGTAGCCATGGAGAAAGACTGCAGATTTAGTGGCCCAGGTAGGAAGGCTGTGAATGAATGAATTGAAACGTTAATTTAAGTACTGTTTGAGAGCTCAGCAGTGTCACTCTTAAGTCCTGGATAACTTCTCCAATTTCTCTGTACTGTACTTACCTCCTCTCACTTGGAAAATGGAGTAAATGATGCTGCTGAAGACCTAGGGACGAAACAGCTGAAAAGCACTCGGACTATAGTTGCAGCAGCCTGAGAGAAAAGTCTGCTGTCTGATTATATCTGAAACACCACATTCTTTAATAGCAATCTAAAGGCAGAAATAATGTTACTTTCCAGAAGCTGGCATTGATTGTTTTATTTATTTATTTATTTATTTTTAAAGCCTAACTTGATGTCATGTCAGGAGAGACAACCGCACACAGCGACTGCTATCTGCTTTTTCATCAGTTTCTTCATCACCTCCTTTTCTCCTGTGCTTCAGTAGCAAAATATCCTCATTTCTCAAAGCCTCTGCACAAAAATCAGCAATACTCGAGGATTAGAGAACACACGAATTATTTCCAGGCCTTCCCTCTACCCCACGCCCACCACACATACAGGTCTGCCTGCAGCATTGAAAACCTGTACCGGATGTTGAGACTCTAAGGTTATTTCTCTCTTCCAGTATTATCTACCTGTCTAATCCATCTGTCCATGTCTCAAACTTTGACAGCTAGATAACTCGTTACTAATGGGGATTCCTGGGCTGTAATCATAGAGATTTCTGCTTCACGTTTTGAAAGGCCATCCATAATGCGTGTTTTCAATAAGTATTAATAATAATTTCATGCATCTCTTTAAAAAATTAACACTGCATCATCTTTGTCACTCATTTGGCATCTTTGTTTTCAAAATGCTTACACGTGCATACTCAGTTCTGAGAGGTAAATGGGAATAATTATCTCCATTTTAAAGATTTTTTTAAAAAAAGCAGTACATTCCTCCAGGCCTCATTATAGATCCCCTGCTTTCCGATTTCATGGCTACTCCCCTTATGTGACCTTTTCTCTGCTTGGGTGTTGAATTGTACAAGGCAGAGAGCCCCAAAAGCCAGCAGTACTATCTGTGCTTGTGTTATTCAAGAATGAGACAAGTTTTCTGGGAGCCAAGGAAGGAAAATAATTTTATTTGCAGACTGTGAACATTTCCCTAATTGATAGCATTACCAACTGATTGTACGCGATTTTCCTTGCCCTATCCTGATGCGCTTTTTAAGATCTAGTCAGCTTTACTTTTGGAGAAGAGTGTCTCTTTTCCACCTGTTTGGTTCTGTGTTGTCAGGCCCCCCAGCATGAACCCTCTGTCTTAGTTCAGCCAGACTCTCATGCCATAGGGCATGTGTGCTCTCCATTGACAGCGGGGGTTCCTACCTCAGGGTGACTTGCCTGTTTAATTCCTCTGCCAGCTGTCTGTCCCATGAGCCCTGTCTGCCAGCCTTGCTTTGGCTATCTAACAGTCTGGATGGTCCAGATCCCCAGACACAGTAGGGCTGTTAGACTTAAAACTTGGTCTAAACAGCCTCACAGACCTCCATCCTCCTTTTGTCCAAGTGAATCCCCACTAGGCCCATTGGTTTGTGGAGGGTTTCTGGGGCCCCTCTGAGTCTCACATCCATTCTCAGTAGCTTTCCAGGACTTGCATTTTTCTTGTCTTTTATTAGGTTGTTGCCAACATAACGCCTGTATTGCTTGAAAACCGTCCGTTTAATCCTCTGGCACTATTGTTGAGGTTTAGCAAATTGTCTATAAAGGGAGAAATTAGGGACATTGAAGACAAACTGAAGAGAAATTTTAAGTAAAACAAATAGCTGCTCCCAGACCTTAGCATGAATGGAAGGTGATTATTCTTTTGCATTTCTAAATTCTCCCGTGCAATATTTTAACTTGGATGACTCCGAGTTTCTCTAACATCAACTGTCATCACAAGCATGTCCGGAGACCTGATTGCACCTGGAAGCTGATGCTGACTGCCCCAGCTCAGTCCACTCTCACCCCACCTCCCTTCACACTCTGGACACTTGCTTGCACGCCTGGTCCTTCTTTCAGGGACTGAGCCCGCTTTGCAGCTTTCCAGACAGAATTAAGAAATTCCAAGGAGCTGGAAACACTTCTTCCTGTTCCCAGTGAGGTAAAGGTGGGATCAAATGTGTGGGCCCAAGAGGCCATTGCTCTCCCCAGGTGTCCTTTTCCTTCCTGAGCAGAGAATTCTACATGCCCTGGCTTATTAGAGAGAGGTTGCACTGCGTTCTCTCAGCCCCCCCACCCCTAACCTCCTCTTGGCGCACCCTGAATCTTTTAACTCGCGGGTGGTTGTTTTCTCTTGGGGGAGGGACTGGACAGAGCAGACCCGAGCTGCAGTTCCCTCGCTCTGCCTCTGAGAATTTCTCATCCAAACCTCAATCACGTAGGATTGCGTAGAAAGGAGAAAAGGGGTGAGACAGAAGACAGAGAGGGGGGAGAGGGGTGACAGGAGGGAGGGAGGAGAAGGGAGTCTGGGGACAGAGGGCGCGAGGAAAGGCAGCAGGATCTGGGCGCGCTGCGCTCCCCTGCGCTCCGGGATCCTGGCCCCCCGCCTGGCCCCACCTAGCAGCTCTCCCGCTCTCCCACGGGTAGGCGAGCCGAGCAGGAGGAACTTCGGCTGGCCCCGGCTCTCCGGTCCCCCCGCCCCGCCGTCTCGGTGGCTGTCCCCGTCGCCTGGGGTTTCCTGCGGAGCTAGCGCTCCAGCCGAGCGAGCTGGTGGGGAGGCGGCGGCGGCTCCGGGGAGCCGGTGCGGCTCAGCGCGCCCAGAGCCTCAGCCCATGAATGGGACTCCGCCCTGAGCGGCGGCGGCGGCTCCGGGGAGCCGGTGCGGCTCAGCGCGCCCAGAGCCTCAGCCCATGAATGGGACTCCGCCCTGAGCGCCCCCTCCCGGGCCTGGGGAGGCGGCAGCGCGGCGCTGGGGGCGCCCCAGCCGCCCGCGGCTCTGAGAGGCCACCCGCGCAGCAAGTTGGGCGAGTTGGCGGCCGCCGGCACTAGCTTCCCGGCCCCGGCCCCTGGACCCG